ATGAACATAGCCATGAATGCAGCCCAGGCCAGAGTCAGCATATGGTCAAATGGCTGTGCAACAAAAATTCTAAATTTGCAGCTTTCAGGCCTGCAAGATGGCTAAGCAGGTAAATGCCACCAAGCTTGACAACCTGAATTCTATCCCTAGGGACCACATGGTGGAAAGGAGTAACTGACTCTTGCAAGTTGTCCTAAACACACACACACACACCCTAATAACCTAAATAAATAATAGAAAAAACTTAAGGCAGTTTTCTTTCACCAAATGGTTTTTGATATTTATTTGAAAAACAAATTTGCTTTGAATTTGTCTTGTGCTACAAGAAAAATCTATTCAAAATAAATCATCATTCTAAATGTAAAAGTTAAACTTTAAAGTCCCAGAGAGGAAAATATTTACAATGTATAGCTTGCAAATACTTCTTGAAGGGGATTTCAAAAAATCAAAGCAAGACACAAAATGATAGAAGGAACCTCAGAAAACAGTTAAAATAAAGCTATAGACTGAGAGACATTATCCATGGTTCAGTGTCTAACATAAGATGAATATCCATAACAAAAAGAGCTCTTATAATCCAATAAGAAAACAAATGATTCAACTTAACAAGACAGGAAAAGTAAATTGTAAAAGTAAAAAGAATCACACAGACACACTCATAAATAACTTAAGGGAACTTTCTTTCTTTCTGTAATTCTGATTAACTGTAGAGTACTCTGGGATTGAAACATGCCAAACAACAGAATGACGGACTGGAAAAAGTCAGGCCAGGCTTGGTCCTAGTATCCCCTTGCTGTGGTCTGAATGTTTGCATCTCATTGAAATTGTATTTCCATGGTGATGAGCCTTTAGGAAGTGATCGGCCCAGGGGAATATTACTTGGCAAGGAAAAGGTATTGAATGAAACAGCCACAAATACAGATGAATCTCAGAATCACTATTAATAAAGGAACCGGACACAAAAGCACATGTGACAGCCGCACTTATATAAAACGCAAGAAAAAATTAACATATAATGACATGTAGCAGATTTTCCGCTTCCCAGAACTTTAAGGAGGAGGTGGGATTGCCAGACCTCTTTATGTTATGATCAGGTAGGATAAGTGTGATATTAATGAAATTTTCTGAGACTACATTTAAATAAACACTTTCAAATTATTATTATTATTAATTTTAAATTACACTCCCAAGCAATTGACATAAGGGTAAACACATTAGCTGGAAGCAGATAAACAAGAAGAAAACAAAAACAAGATGCAGCATGACATCATACCTTTCTGATTGTTAATGAATATTAACGAATTGTTCCTCTCTCAGTAATGCACAGCCCTGGAGAAAGACTGAAAGGAACACAGCCAGATGGACTCTCCTAGATGGAAGGCAGTCTCCAGGGTAGCAAGAGACAGGACATCCCTGTCCAAGGCCAACACGTTCCTCCATAAAAATGATTCAGCCCAGCAGAGAGACAGTGGCTTCCAACAGTAGTAATAAATCCACAGCCCAGACAACGCACACATTCAACCAGGGAGCAGCCAGTCCCACCCTACAACCCCTTTTCCTCTCAAAATATGTCTGCAGAAAATGACTCATCTAATCCCCCAGCTGCAGTGTGGCAAGAAGAAAGCCTAGGTTCAAATATGTTTGATGAGGTTTTGGACAGAAGCCCTCAGAATAAGCAAGAAATGAGATGGGAACCATGAAACCACAAGGCTAAAGAAAATCACATGGCACAACTTATAAAAGACTCATAAAATATAAATTAAAGGGGTTTATGGAGATTGCTCAGTGGTTAAGAGTATGTATCGCCTCTCTAGGGGACATAAGTTCAATTCCCAGCACCCACGCATGGCAGTCCCTACCGCCTATAGCTCCAGCTCCAGGGTCCTGACACCTGTGGCCTTTGTGAGAAACTATACCCATATGCACATATCCTCCCCCATACACATAATTAAACACAATAAAAGCAAATCTTTAAAATACAGGAAAGCTGAACTCAGAACAAAGTGGGAACCACTGAAACTGAACAAAGTTATAGACAACGTCCCCTCTTGCAGTTTATTTTGATTAATAATGTGGATTTAATGAATTTAATTGAATGATTAAAACCTCAAGTAGAAGTTATAGAGCAGTATAAAAGATGAGCAGAGCATCACTGACAGACTACAGAGCAAGAGGCAGGAGGATTGTCATGTGCAAAACACTGTAGCTCAGTCTCTTTCTCCTAAAAAGAAAACATTTGCTTAAAAAAGAAAAAAACATCTGGGGAAAATATAGATATAATACAAGGAAATGAAATACTATTTTTCTCGGTAATGATAGCCCACAGCTAACCTTGTTTTGGAAAGTAATTTTTTTCTTCCATTCTAAGTGGTAAGAACTCAAATATAGCATTTCTCGGGGAGCTAGAAGTAAGGGACACTGAAGAAACCTATCAGGCAGTGAGAGGAATCTGGAGAGACGCTCATTCCAAGGTGAGCATAAAGGATGGAGCAAGGTGCATCCATTCATTTGTAAACATTCAGCTATGTGGTTTTCACATTTTTGTTAATAAACACACAATTAGGAAATTTCCTGTTAAGAGTGTAGAATGCACTCTAAAGAGAAAAATGGACTTGAAGTAAGGAGCGATATGATATGAATATTTGGTAAGCTAGAGGTATAAGTCAATGGTGCATCCCTTGCCTAGCATGTGCCAGGCTCCGAGTCTGATATCCAGCATTGCAATGCATCAACATGCATGCATAAACACATACAAAGACACGCACATATGTGCCAAAATCCAATCATCCAAATATTTAAACAAACCATACCCTTATGTTTCCAGAGATTAAACTTAGGTTCTCAGTTGCCTGGTAATAAGTGCCTTTGTCCATTGATGCTCCTCATTGCCCTCATCCTAGTGTTTTTTAAAATCACATTTTATATGTTGTTTTCATGTCTATTAATAACACATTAATCCTATGTACTTTTGTCTAATTACTTCACACTTTCATTTTGGAAGATGTGAGCTTTCAGGAAGCTCTTTCATGTATAGATAGTGACAGGTATTTTGAACTGTGAACCATAATTCTCCCATTTATGAATATACTGCTCAGTGTCGAATAGATCCCTAAATGCAGTTTCTGCTTTCTCCTCTATAGCAGCACTGCAGCTTGATGTCCTGCTCTAGCAACTGGAATTATGTGCAAGTAGGTTAAAATAAATGATGCATGTGAACACACTTAGTAACTGCTACTCAGTTCACACAGGCATTTGTGATTAGTATTTAGCGAGAACTGGACTATGCCTTCTGCTCTCATGGTCACAGCGTGGCGTGAAAAGGAACAGGGGAAAGCGTATATCCACATAATGAACAAGAAAGCAGTTTACAATTTCTAATCCTTGTGTTATTTGGAAGAGAGATTCTATTTTCTTTGACTATCTGCATTTTATCATGTCTTCATTAAATGTTTTTCACCCTGTTCTTAAAAATACTCTCAAAAATCTGTGTATGTTTTTTATCTAATTGCATCAGTCTTTTTCTTTATGAAAGTCCAAATTCTCAGAAAGATCTTCCTGTTAATGCAAATTACACAATCTATGAATTCCACCAACCATCCTTGCTTTGTACCAAGATCCCAGAGAACCCACACTTTTTTTTTTCAGCATCTCCTGCAACCATCCTTAGCATGATGTCATGCCTAGGTCCAAGATGCCCTTGGCTTTCAGTGGACAGTCAAAGTAATTTCTTGATCAGTACTCTTGTCGTATCTTACCTTCCTGTGGTCCTTTCTTCTCACTGCAGCCAAACAGACTTTGCTTCTGTCCCATAGTGGTTTCTTTCTGTACTTCTCATAATGGCCACTGTGGCCCAGGCTACTTCTGACTCCCCATGCTCACACAGTCTCTGCCACACTCCACTCTGCTCCAGACAAAGGCATTGTCTTGTTCATTCTTACACCCAGCAGAATCATGACACACATCACTCTCTTTTCTCTGCAAATAATACATTTGCTATCTTTCTGTCTCTGGCTCTTCAGCCTGTGGGTCCCTGCTCAGATGTCACCATCCCAGAAAGGTTTTGACTCTTCTCTTGGCAAAGTTGCTCATTCCCTTCCTTATTTTTACTGTTTTATAATAACCACTACTATTTAAAATTTAATGTCCATCTGTTTGTCTATTACATCCCCCAAATCTCTAGAATATAATAACCTTAAGAGGGAAAGAAAACTCTTCGTATTTAATTATACTGGTTTCTATGATATGCAGTCATACTGTGTTTACAGAGCAGGCCTGAAACTGCTCTTCACAAACACCTGCTTCTTAGCTACACGTGGAGGAACACATCCAGAATCCTAGCACCTAGGAGGAAGAGGCAGGAAGATCACCAACTTGAAGTCGACCCAAATCATGCAGGAAGGCCCTGTCTAAAGTCTGAGTGCAAGGTTCACTTTGGGCTATGGACTATCAACTTCAATAGTTGGCAGTCTCCTAGAATGGTAGGAAACTTCCTCTAACATATCAGAAGGCTCAGATGATAGTCAATGTGCTTCGTACTGAACACCTGCTTTCTACTGTCAAGTCTGCAAATCGTCATGCATCAGGCAGACAGCACTGCAGGAGCATCCCCAGTAAGAAGCCCAGGCACAGCGGCTCTGTGGAACGCTAGTAGGAGAAATCCTTTTAGGGATATAATCCGAACTGGATGTGTACTCCCTGTGGCTACCTGGACAGGCCGCTGGGAGACTGGGTTCTCTGAACTTTGCCTTTTCCATTGTTCATTTCCCTTTGTATCTTTTCCCTGCAAGAACTTTATCCAGCTAAAGGCTGGATCCTTTAGGTCTTCCTAGTCATCAGTGATCCCCAGGGTATTGTGGAAGGACTTGGACAGAGCAACCAAGACGCTCACTCACTCTCCCAGTTTCCAAGTAACTAGAAAGAGCAGCACGTAGAATAGCCCATAATGTCACAGTATGGAGATATGACCCTCTCTTGGAAGCCTAAAACCCATTGCCACTCACGTGACGGGTCTGTAGATCTCCTTCACGCCGATAAACTGCAGCTGTTCCATGATGTCTGGGATGCTGGCGCAGCGGGTCAGGTTAATTCTTGGATAATAAAGAAGGTATGAAAGACACATTTCATTCCTGGTGCTTAATCCTCCCTGAAAAGTGGAGACGATTTATTTCATAATGTTTCTCCCAGCTCTCACACACACAGGACACAAAATTGACAGTGTTGTGCAGATCCCCAGCTCGGAAATACATTGGGTCTTTATCATTCACAAGCAAACACTCATTATTATTTCTTGTGATACTGAGGATCAAATTCAGGTCTCATAGTTGGTGGAAAAACCAGTAAACTCTAGCCCAGGTCTCTTTTTAAAAATCTTTATTATGGGCTCTCACTATGTTACTAGGGTTGGCCTTGAACACACAGTCCTTCTGCCTCTGCATCTCAAGTAGATGTCTTGAAAATTGTTAACTTAAAGGACTCTTAATTTTCAAAAATATTGAAATATTAAAAGTTAGTATTATTTCTTTCTCTTTAAAGGGTGCTTTTCTTAGAAAATCTATTAAAGTCCTTAAGAGTTCTATTATCTGACACAAACTTCTGCCACAGTAGACATTTCAGAAGTTCCTGGTGATGCCTACATGTTACAAAACAGTTGGATGGAATTATTTAGGCTCGGAGGGTCTCATGGAGCCCAGGCTCTTTTTGAACTCAGAATCCTCTTGCCTCCACCTCCAATGTACTGTTAGAGTGTTTTCTCAGCAAAACTGAATTTTCTATATTATTTTAGAATGTAAATATTAGCAGCTATGTGTTACGGTGGCCATGGGCAGTACCTTCTAAGTATAAGTACGTGATATTGAGGTCTGATCTCCAAAATATATAAAGAACTCAAGAAATTTGTCATCAAAAGAACAAATAATCCAATAAAAATTGGACCACAGACCTAAACAGAGAACTCTCAATAGAGGATTCTAAAATGGCTAAAAGACACTAAAGGAAATGCTCAACATCCTTAGTCATCAGAGAAATGCAAATCAAAACGACTCTGAGATTCTATCTTACACCTTTAAGAATGGCCAAGATCAAAAACACTGATGACAACTTATGCTGGAGAGGTTGTGGGGTAAAGGGAACACTCCTGCATTGCTGATGGGAGTCCAAGCTGGAACAGCCCCTTTGGATATCGGTATGGCAATTTCTCCACTGTATTTCAATCAAAACTTCAAGTATCTGAAGAATCTAGAGTTGCTCTGTCCAGCTTTCAACCAAAAATTATTAAAGAAACAATGAACTGTTATTTTTGCTCACGAAGTCACTAGTCACAAACTGTGAGGAGGAACAGATGGTGGATTTAGCAAAGGCGGTAACAGTCAAGTAATTAAAGGCAAATATGGCCAAACTGGGGGACGAGTTCAAGAGCGGCCCTAGGAACAGGAAAGCCAGACTAACGGGAGGTCAGGAGATGAAGGTCCACAAGATGAGTTCAGCTGCATATTCGGTACGACTTATTGAATTTTAAAACTAATTGATAAAATGGATCCAAATAACAGAAGGATACTTATAAAAAGACATTTCTTTTTCTTATTATAGGCAGTTGGTCATGCCAGCATCCTTCCTCACTTATCTGTCTATCTGCAGCCACATTTCCAGGCGTAGGATGAGCGGGTTTGTTGCAGGGATTCTGAGAGCCCACACCACCCTGGATCAGTCACCACAGCTGCAAAGCAAGGCTTGCTTTAGCTCACGCCCCATCTCACTCTCTCCTGCCGTCTTTCCTAATCTTGACCCTTCGCTCCTCCAAGTTTACTTTTAATGCAGGAAGAGCTAAAACAGCAAACATTTTTTTTTATAAAAAATGAAGCAAGAGAGGATCTTAGTGGTGACTAGGCAAAGGTTTATTAATTAGCAAACCAACCCCCCCAAATCATGAAATTTCCCTGAATTACTTTTACTGGAATTGCATGAATTTACAGACCACTTCCTTTTCTTTAGTTTTTCCTTTTTAAGTTTTATTAATTAAAAAAAATAATTTATTGCTGTACATTAATTTGTATGCTGTACTGAGTTTAACAGGGGTATTTTGTATAAATGTATAGTATACTTTGAGCATACTGTCCATGAAGACAGTGTCTCTTAATTTCTTTAGCTGTCATTTACTGTCTCATAAAAATATTTATATTTTTATCTACAAGATTAAGCTTGTCTAATGTTGGATTTTGTGTCTATGTAACTTCTTATTTTCAATTATTTAACCTCAAGATTGCTCTTTGACAGTAAACTGCAATTAGGGTTAAATATAAACTTGGGGAGCTTGGGTGTGTTTTGCTGTCTCACCTTCTCCTTTGTGGTCCTTAGAGTCCTTTGTTTATTCTTTGCCAAGAGGCACCGTGATGTTTCAACACAACACCTAACAGAGGCAGTAATAAAAAATGACCCTGCATTCTTCACAAATGTGAAGAAAGATTTTAACATTGGATTTAAGATCAGCTACAGATTTGATCATAGCTAACTTTGATCTAGATATGTCATTGATCCAGGTAAGGCAGTTCCTTTCTAGTCCTGGCTACTACCTTTTTCTTTCTCCTAGGCTTAAGGGTTTTAGGAAGTTTTTCTCTGATTGTTTAAGATAAGCCATATCTTTTTCCTCCAATCTCTTAATTGGCAGGATGTATTTTCTGATTTTTCAACTTTATATTCTCTATCTGAACCCAAACCACTTCTAACAGATTTATGAAACAGAATACAATGAGTAGGTATTTTGCCAATCAGTCAGTATATTGGCCTAGTTCGTGCCTTTGTATATAACTTTGGAGTGAAGATTGTGTTCTCTTAATAAAACAAGCTGGTGGGAGATGATGTCTACTGTGTTCCTAGCAGAGACCAAGGAAGGCATGAAATATCTATTTCCTGAGAGTTTGGCAGACGTCCCCAGTAAATCTGTTGGGATTGGACGTCTGTTTGGGTCGGAAGCTCTGAGTTAATGTGCTTCGTTGTTCCTTTGGAAGTCTGGATTTATCTAAGTGAATAAGTGAACACCCAGGCAGACCCAAGTAATGTAGAGACTTGTTAGGGCTTTGTCTATTTGATGAGGATGAAGATAAGAAGGCATAGCTTTCCCAAAGCACCAGTAAATTACAGCATAGTCTTTTCCGTAGTGCTACCAGGTTTTTGAAGTCTGGTAAGACACTAACACAGCTCTTGCTTTCCCTCTATGATGCTTCATGATGAAGACCTTCAGAGTTTTGTTTCAAGATAGGAATGGACTTCTCAACTTCAAAATCAAAGGTTATTCCTTCCTCTCTTTAAATGAACTTTAAGAATAATATTTTCTTACCCAAGTCATCCCAGATCTGTCCTTGGTGTTGTACCGACATTCAGTAATGAGGTTATCTCCCTGAAACAAAAGCAAGTACCTTCAGGTTAGAGTTGATGCCGTTTTGCCTATATAATCCATCTAATATGTCTAATTGTTAGATCAGCAGTTTATAGTTACTGCATGAGAAAGCATCAGGCAGTTTGATTCAGAAGATGTTGATATGCTTAACCATAGTGTGTTAGCATAATCCACAAGAAAGCAAACAAGAGGACTCTTTAAGTTCAGACCAAACTCTCCAGTATTCTAGTCAGATACCTAGGTAAGAAACTGAACAATCCGGATGCAATTTTTCCATCTGAGCATAGAGATTAAAAATAGTACTTACTTTGCACAGCTCTTTGGAGGAGATTTGATGATATAATTAGTGTTCGTTCTTTAGTAGAGATTAACATGTAATGAAATAGTAGTCAATATCCTAATTGTGATTACTTCTGCACCCATGATCACCCTTAAAGCTCTTTAGTGATGTTCTCCTTTCCTTAGAAATTATTAGTAATTTATTATGTTAGTGTTTTTTCAACTTTTTGAACATTACAGCCAACATGAAGAATGATGACATTTTTATAGCTTCCCGCCATGTAGATATTTCAGCTGGCGTCATTTCACAAACTGTATGAGAACCTAACTTTTGAGAGCAGATTTAAAGGGCTAGTGAGATGGTTCAGTGGATAAAAGTTTATGCTATCAAGTGTAACAGCCTGAGTTTAATCCTCAGGGTCTAGGAGAAGAAGGAGAAAAAGAAGCATCCTATTAAGTGCGTGGAACAACTCTTCACAGGCTGGAGGCTGGCATCTCTTGCACTAGCCCTTTGGTTTCCCTCACTGCTCCTGAAGATCAGTCTCTCAGGTTGACTATGGCCCTAATCATAGCGCACTTGTTAGAAAGCAATGCGCTAGAATAGCCAGTCATGAGACGAACACAATGAGACAACGTGTAGTGTAGAAAGAATCACACCAGTTCACTCTTTCTCAAGATGTCTTACATCTGTCAAGGTATATAAAAATTTCTAAAAGGTGTAGTGAAGGGTATCTCAACCAATCACCTTGTTCGGGGGGGGGGGGTGTTTGCCCCACGGCCCCAAATAGCTTATAAAACCATCCATGTGCGCTTGTTTGTTCCTTTTGTTTCCTGCTCTTCGCTGGAACCTTGGCTTTGTAAGTTCTCCCCTTATTAAAGCTGAATATATTATATTGAGCTTGCCTGGCTAATTCTGTTCACCATTTGTTTACGCCGTAACAGTGTAGTGAGTCAGAGTGATGAGTAAAATGTGATCATTTAAAAATAAAGGCCCCCTTTCTCTTCATTAGCTACTTGTTTTTCACACTTCCTTCTAACATTTTGTCTTTTTCCTGACAGTTCACTTCATTCAAAAAATTCTACTGCAAGCCTCACTCACCTAGAGAAGACCCATATGTCGCTGTCATTTCACAAATTGTGTAAATATTTAACGTTTAATACTCTTATATAAGGCTTGGAAATTGTATGACTATTGAGTCCGATGAGCATAGGATAACATTTGAAGGGAGACAATATATCAAAAAATTAAGAAAAAAATGAAAGGTTTCACTATTGTAAGACATACAATTCTCTTCGGACACCATAACCCAAAGAACTGCTACATAATTGGTTCATAAAACAAAGAATAGTTAACTATATCTGATACCTTTCCTTGGGTTTGTGTGTGTGTGCACTCATACACGTACACGTGTGCAATCACAGATTCTGGGTGGCCACTGAGCTTCTCATCTCTGCCCCTCAACATGCCAGTCACAGGTATTCATGGCTGTATCATTTCTACAAGGTTGCTGAGGACTTAACACAAGTCCTCTTGATAGCACAGCAAGACTCTTAACCACCGAGTCATTTCTCCAGCCCTGCTCTTCTAAAGGAAGAATTATCGCTAGGTTCATTCTTCATGAAAATGAAACTGATAAAATGTGTCCCCTCCTCAATCTATCATAACGTGCAATTTCACCATTATCGTAATTGTAACCCAAAGAATCACTAGTCAGGGATTGGAATCTGAACCCTTTGGTTGCTAGGTTTTGTTTTGTTTTGTTTCTTTTTTTCTTTAATCAAGAGCTTGCATTGCCTCCAGGGGATGCTAAGAGAAGTGAATTTCCAGTTTGGGAAGCAGATCAAACGCATTCCCTCTGATGTATGCAACACCCACAGTGGGTGGCTTCAAGAATATGAACTTGATGAGCAATTCTCTTGGCTAGCAGGATCCCTACTGCATCCTGGGAGATCAGCCTCAAGACACAACATTTTCTGACAAAGAGCATGCATGCCTACTGGTAAGATTGTTTGCTCTTCTTTCAGATACTGAAACTCCTGGAAATTGAAGTCAAAATCATCATCGTAAGCCAACAACTGCATTTCCTCCCCATGGCGAAAATGACGCAGCCTGATGCCTCTGCCTGCCAGGTGAGCATGGAGAAGAACTGCGAACACATGGATTCCACTTGGCTTCTCTGCTCCCAGGGCCTGCGGGACAGCGAAGAGAACCCGATTAGCCCATGGAAGGCATGCTCAGACAGTTCAGGCATACTTGAGGTTCAATTGACACACACACACACACACACACACACACACACACACACACACACAAAGATGAAGCAATTTCAGTGAAAGCTCGAGCTGCCAAATTCACTTTGAATGTGGATTGTGGGCTACTGTGTTTGTGCTCACCATTTGCCAGGAGAAGGAAGGGGAAGGTACCAGGCCACAGTGAAGTTAGCTTTCTCTTCACTGCCATTGGTCTGTGAAGAGACAAACCATGGCCCAGTGAGGGCGACAGCTGCAGGTCGCTAATGGGAAAATGTAACCTCTCAAAAGGAGAACCTGTTCCCAGATAGAAAAGAACATCTTCCCCAGTGGAATGACATGATTCACCCTGGTTCTATAGCTAATATGTGTTGTCATGGTGATTTAATGGGGGGGGGGGTGGCTAAGCGGCTCAGCTGAACATAATCTTTCAGCTTCGCCAGCAAATGCTTGCAGAATCCCGTATTTCAGAAATATGATCCACACTGAATGAAAGGCTTTGGTTCAAGAGAAAACCTGTTAATGAGAGTAGTCATGAAATGCCTACAAGGTTCCAGTTTCCCTTCTGCACCATGTACTTTGCATTGCTTGTTCTTCCTGAAAGAAGAAAATTAAAAAGCAGAGGAAAAGAGAAGAGCCAAAGTGAATAGTGGGAAAGTATGGGAATAACATGTAAAATTGGGAAAGGACAAAGAAACTACACAAAGGAAGAAAAGTCATCAAATGCCCCAAGGAAGTAGGAACAAAAGCAAGCGAGAAAGGAGGAAACACCTTGGTTATTCTGCCATCCATCATTCTTCTCTTCCAGCCTTCAAGATTTAGAAGAGGCAGCCAAATATCCTATTGGGATTACACCGGTGGCTCTCCAAGATGCCAGTATTGAAAGCATAATAAACGTGCATGGAAACTTTCAGAACTCAGTGTCTAAGCTGGGGATGGCAATTAGGAGACTGTGGCACGGCTCACCTCCTCTAGGCACTCCAGTGTGCAGTGACCCTCGGAACGGAATTCGGGCATCCCTGGAGGGATCGTATGGAAGAGGCTCACCCAGAGGCCGGCCTCAATCACTCCTGCGTCGTATTTCCTTATGTCCGTAGTATGAAAAAACCTCAACCCAGAACTGTCTATCAAGCCTGTAACAACAGCAAATGACAAAGAGAACGGGGATACTTTAAGAGGAGTTTTCACGGTCCTTTGAAATGGACCATTTATGGATTGATTTAATGGAAATTAAAATCTCGCGAGAAAAAGGAATACAAACAGAAATAACTCGAAGACAAAAATTAGCTCTGTGAACAGAAACTAGAACAAAAGTCACCATATTGTCTATAAGTACCATAGACCCATGCCACATGCTACGGGGGGGGGGGGTATGTTTGAGTTATCTAGCGGACATATTCCACAATTCTCTAACACAAGGGCAGAACAAAAGTTTTAATGTCATTCATCATAAGATTAAATAAGTCCAGAAGTTTTATTTTATATTGATTTGGGGTGACATTCTCCTCTTACTTATAGGTACAAACCATTCAGCTTAGAAATCATCTTCGGATAGAGCAAACTACTAAAGCTTACCTCTGTACAGTTTGCTAACAGTCTCTTCGTCCTTAACAAACTCATTGAACAGCTGCTAAGGGCTGACAGGGCATGAACAGTTACATGGTGGGTATTGTGGGGTTAAAAGATGAATAACAAATTCTTTGCTATGACATGTTGCTGACAGGAGGGAGAATACATGACGCAGATACTATAAGCCTGTAATTAATTTTAATTAATTGAAACCCTTCCCAGAGGTACCACAACATATACCTATGAAGAATCTGCTTTTACAAGGAAAACTTTGACAGTCTACCATGGCATCCTCCTGACTTAATTAGGTCAACAATTAAATACTCTTTTTCTAAAAAATATTTATTTATTTATTATGTATACAATATTCTGTCTGTGTGTCTGCCTGCAGGCCAGAAGAGGGCACCAGACCTCATTACACATGGTTGTGAGCCACCATGTGGTTGCTGGGAATTGAACTCAGGACCTTTGGAAGAGCAGGCAATGCTCTTAACCTCTGAGCCATCTCTCCTATCAGATACACCCTCTTTTGTATCGATTGGTAGAAACGTGGTGTTATTTTAATTGTTTATCTTCCCTACAAGACCATAACTTTCGTTTGTGTCATTTTGTTTTGTTTCTCATCAGGGTCTCACTATGCAGACTGAGTTGGCTTCAAACAGACAATCCTTTTCTACCAGGTCCCAAGTGCTGGAATTACAGGCATGCACCAGGATACACCGCCATGATAATAACTTCTATGAGTGAGAGAATATCTTTTTCACTCACATTAATCTTTAAGCCCAGAACAAGCACATAGTTGATGTTTGGTGTTTACTGGGAAAAAATGTGAATTAAAATAATTAAGATTGCTTTCATTGGCGAATGCACAGTGAATCTCCTAAGTGTTTTTGCTTTGGGAAAATGGTATGAGAAAATTCAGAAACCAAGTGCATATCCTCATAGCTACCTCTCTCATACAGTTTCTCATTGTAGATATTTCTTTAGTACACTTGTGGATAGCCTATCAAACAACAAATTGCCAGTAGTTTTCAGTGTGAGGGGTGGCAGTAACTGTTTCATATAAACAACTAGAAAGAAATGTGTTTAGGGCTGGGGGTGGCTCCCTTGATGAAGCACTTGATCTGCAAGTGTGAGGACTTACTGAGTTCCCTTTTTAGCATGCGTCCACCAACTGGGGAGCAAGTATTCAAGGTGCCTATGGGCGCCATTCTTCTCCAAACCCCCACAACCTGTCTCAAAGGATGAGGTGGTGGGCAATTGAGGAAGCTATCCAAAATGAACCTCTTGTCTGCATATACAATCACAGAGAGGGAGGGAGAGGGAAGGAGACAGAGACAGAGAGAGAGAAGGGGGATTTTTAAAGCACCACATGTATTTGGAACTAATTTATATCACAAAGGGAACTTTCATTTTCCTACTTCCTGGTGAGAAATATGAGAATGTATTCTTAGGACTTGTGACCATATATGCCCATTTGCCAAATGCTACTGGTTAATGGCTATTGCCTAGTGTCAATCTGAATGGCATCCTGTTTTGCTTCGAAAAGCATCTTAATTTGGATGGCAAATGTACAGGCTAACACTTTCTTACAGAGTTTCATATTTCACTTTAGCTATGTTACAGACAATAGTTATGTGACATTTTAAAACTGGCATTTAAAAACAAAGAAAGAGCTTACCTTTCTTATGTGTGGGATTATCATAATGCACTTCTAAAAGCACATAATGAGGATCCAATGGCGTGCTGAGGGATAGTCCAACATGAGGTGGGTAAGTAAATCCCTAAATATGGAAAAAACTTCATGACACAGTAACCTGTGAAAGTCCTTAAGAGTTCTAGTCCCCAAACCCAACTATTCCCCCAAGATACTTCAGCTTTTAGAACAATACCGTTCATCAAACACAGATCAAACATAACCATTTAGGGGAAGAATCTTTTCCTATAGACTTAGAAATATAAGTAAATTTTTATGTATTTTTGCATGAGAATGGTGTGCTTCTGCTAGACCCGTACATGAAGGAGAAGCACCATCAGGTAACCGGCTACAAACTGGTCATCATCATTAGCCTTACCTCTCCACCAATGGCCCAGGCAAAAATCACAGTTTCACAGGTCAGAAAGGCATCAGGCATGTTTGGGTGGTAGCACTCATGGCCATAGTCCAAAACACTGTCGTTAAAGTTGCTGCTGCACTGATAGAGCAGGATGTGATGGACCAGGCTCTCATGGCCTTTCTCTATTACCGGCTCAACCTACACAAATACAAATAAGAGGGAGGGTGTCATAAACAACAGCGCCTTATAACATCCCAGAGGGAGCGTGGAAACATCATCACTGATTGCTCGGTCTTCACAGGAAGGGAACTGAGATCCAAGTATGCGTTGTCCTGAAGATGGCGGTGCTGGTGATGATGCTAGATGACAGGGTGACAACAAATAGAGACAATCGTGTATTTCAAGAGTCGCAGGACTTCACCAACTTTTTTTCTCTTTCCTTCATGTCTAACTCATGTCTATTTCCGTTGTCCATTCTATAAAACATCTTCCTCTCTTTCAGGCCCCTCACTTTGCATTGTTATTGTTCCCTCTTCTTTTTCCCTCATGTAGAAAATATATATATCAAGGCTACCAGTACAAACTCTCTGTCTCCTTCTTCTCCACCTCAAAATATTATTCTTACTCTACTTGAAGTAACAGATGATATCTTGGTTTATTTTTCTATAAACATGGGCTGGACAGGAAATAGGGCTCAATAATGGACATTTTAGTTTTAATGATAAAGTAGCAATTCTAACAGCAATTTGGGCAGCTGGAATTTGGAAGTCAAAAAGTCCAACTATTAGTTAAGAATTACTATGACGTATTTTGAGTTGTGAGGTGGATCTGAAACCAGTTAAAAGGGAAAGGGTAATTGGCACTGATGGCCCATGTGAACAAGCTCCTTTCCATCAACATCTTTGTAAGTCTCCTTCATGGAGTTGGGTCCTTCAAGATACTTGTGTCTATTTCATCCAGGAGCATGCGAACTCACCCAGAATGAGTTGAGCAGGACGCCCTTCCAGAGATCCCCACACCCAGATGAAATGGGAGCCTGGGCTGTGGGTATGGGCATCAGCTCAGAGGACCTGCTATACTCCTGTAGTTCTAGCGTTCTCAGGGCTCAGCTACCCTTAGGCTTTAGCTCTCTCTCTCTCTTTACTTACAGGCATTGCATTCAGAAACACTTGCTGCAGATTTAGACGGAACATCTTTAGCCCTTTTCTCCTAGGACATTGCATCTGTTATTTCTGTAGACTTTCTCATTTTGGTAGGAAAATCCAAATAGCCTAAGGGGCACAGGGATGTAGCAGGTAGAGGTCTGGAGCAAGTTGCTATGAGATTCCACCTTTTAAATCCGATTCTGTTTCGTCTTCCCTACGTGCATGTTTCTGACCCCCAGTTGTAGAAATAAGGTAGCATCCAGCTTTGTTTTTGATTATCTTTAAAGGTCACAAGTCCTGAAGGCATAGACTATTTGTTTTCATTTGCTTGAAAATGACAGTTATGGTTCAAGCATGATTATAAAATTAGCCTTGAATGCACAGAAGTCTAACTCAGAACTTCTTTCAAAATTGTGTTTCCATATCCAGGATGAACTGTCCTGTGATATTATAGACTTATTTGGGTGCTTCAGTTCACCCACAAAGATAAGACAGAAACAAAGATCTCCACAGCCAGATATTCAAATCCATGTGAGGTTTTTGTTACATGTCTGGGAAAAGTTCAAGCAGAGCCTGGAGTCTGCACAGAATTCTGCAAACCAGAACTCAGAAGGGAGCCACAAGAACAAGGAGGCCCTGGCTTGCTGCAGACACCTTCATCAAGGTGTAGTGAGAGGAAGTAAAGAGTATGTGGTGCAGGGTGATTGTTAAGATTCAGGAGTCCCAAATACCACTATAAGAAATGCCTATTAGGAGTAAATCTTTGTTCTCACAGGAAGCATTGAAACAAATGTTAAGCTTCTAGATTATAATGCCTTCTTTGAATAATGATATCTCTCCTTTATCCAGCAGTTCTCATGTACCACCCACAGGATCATTCTTTGTTCCTATATCTGGTCTATAAACTGCATAGATAAACGCTCACTGTCCTCACCAAATAAATGAGAAAAGTGAGATTTGGAGAGAGTAGGCAACAAGCCACAAATACTGCAGTCATGGAGTGAGATAAAGATGAGAAACCAGACTGCTCTGACCCCAAAGTCTCTTCTAATGAGAACATGCTGTGGCGGGAAGGTGTGTTGGAAAGCCACCAACACTGCAAGCCACTACCAGTGGGACGGAGGATGAAAGCCTACAATAATCCTAGCTAGAGAAAGCTGGTAAGAGGGAAATGACATCATGAGTTAATGCCAGGAGAGTCTCTGGGGCACAACCAGCAAGAGGCACCACACAAAGTTCCCATCAGAGAAGCTGAATCAAGCTGGAAGTCTTGTGCTGGGTCTCCTGATCTCCTTACTACCCATCCCCCATGGTACTTGGCCTGTTAATATATCCTTTTCTTAAAGAGAACAAAAGACAATGTGTCTCCAGTGAACCTGCCAGAGCTTCAAGGAGAATTTAATTATGGCTTCATCTACAGATTACAAATTGAGGGTATAACCTAAAAAAAAAATTAAGGATTTTTTTGAGGAGTAAATTACTCATAAAACAGAAAGGAGGGTTGATGCAGATCCGACTGTGAGAGAAATGAAAAGTAGTTTGGAAGAAGCAAAATCCTTTGGAACGTAAAGGGGGTGGGAGCAAGAAGGCAGGGGTGGGGAGGGGTTGGGCGAAGAGAAGGAATCATGCTAGCTCTGCCCCCACCTTTAGCTAGGATGGAATGCTTTTGTGGTTTCAAGAGGTCCTGTTTGCAGCCGTTTATTCTAGCATCCCGGAGAGCTGATACATCACCTGGTCTGAATTTTATACCATAAATTAGCAATTTTCAGGTCTGTACATTTATATGGAGATCGTGACTGCCCTTGCAATTGTTCGGAACACAGAAAGCACAAGGATACACGTGTCCCTTGTGATTAATACTATCTTTATCTAAAAGTAAACCTTCGTGTATTTTGCCTTAGTTTTAGCGTGGCCGTATAAAGGGAGTAGTACCTTTCTTGTCCTAGCCGCCTGGGCTAAGCATAACCACGGGGCACTGATGACTAGAACTCTTTGGACTGATTTCTGTCTTCTCATTCTTCCAAGTTATCCACCTATGATGTGGTTCCTTGCTTGTTGGAACATGAGTGGAGGAGCGGAATGACGCTCTCCAAAACCAACTTGCGATTCAATAAATTAAAGTTTGAAACAAAGTGGAGAGGTGACGGGAGGAATCTGGAATGAGCTGGAATTTTTGTCAACTCCTATCACTTATAATCCTGCCGATTCTTGTTCCTGGCACTTTGCTTCATGGGCCCCTTCCCCCCCACAACCCTTCCTCAGCCAGGCAAAAGTTAATATCCATGGGAAAGTTCGTCAACTCTCTCTGACAGAGGGCATTTAAAGTGAGCTGGTTCTCAAAGTGGCACTACCCCTGAGGTCCCAGGCAGACCTATTGGTAGGTCTCTGCATGAACTCACTGGCCTGCTCATATGAAGATGGTGGGAGAAATGTCTTCCATCACCTGCCCTGTACGAACTCTAATCTCCGAAATGAATGACGTGAGCATAACAATACATTCGACCACATTGATTTGGAATGGAGTCCTCATACAGCAAATATTCCACTCTGAAAGCAAGTTGGGGATCAAAGCAAAGCATTATTTGATGTGGCTTCCACAGCCTAACAAGAATGAACTTGGCAGCGAGAGAAGGTGACAAGAAGAAGAGGTCAAACTGGGGTAGACATGGAAAAAAAATAATGAAAACTAGAAGTAGGAAGAAGAGAATTCTGGGAAATCATTCGTCCCTTACTATAGTGCAGAAGGCTCACTGGGATTGCCATCTTATACATACCACAACTGATCAGCTCAGGGATGGGCACCCAGCCCATCTATGTGCCCTTGTTTGTTATTTAACTATAAAAATAATCTTCTCTCTTTAAAAGACTCTCATTATGAGGTCAGCAGATGCCATAAGTGATGTGCTTATGCACGTGGGAAACAGTCCCAGCACAGAGTGTATGATAAAGCCAGCACATAGAGAAGGGACAGTCCCGGAGAAGCTTTACTCTGTAAGGTTTCTGTATCCAGTTCCTTCTCTGCCATTCTGAGATTTAGTCACTTGTACACTTCAGCTAATACAACCTTTTCCTCCCAAGCTGGTTCACTTTGTTGTTTGTTTTGTTTAGTTTTCCATTGGCCATCCAAAGCTCTGAAAACATGAATACAGGTCACCAGTTTATCCATGGGTCCTGCACACAGCACTTTGAAGCTTTCTTATCTTAGAAATACTGTCACCTAAAGTTCTTATTTACTATTTTAACTGAATCTGGACAAGTTTTCATCAGTTATTTCAGTGTTATTCCCTGTAAGTGTTCTAAGAGAAAAAAACCAAAACACAGCCTCTAATACACAGCCCTTTATCTCCTGACTTCTGGCCCCGGGGTTTCCACACAGGCTCCAGCATTTAAGCTGCTTCACTTGATGAACATGCAAGTTCCCTTCAGAAAGGTAGCACGTTGTGACAAACAGCCTGAAGTGACTTTAAAAACGTTAATAAATACAACATTGAATATTGAGAACCTGCTGAGAGACATCTTCAGAATGTCTTTCATGTTATTCTCCAGTCGCTTTTCCTAGCCCGTACTTTGCACACACACAGAGCAAGGACCTCCCATGAGAGCAGGGAGCAGCCCTCAGCAGTTAGCAATGCCAACGTTTGGTTTTCAAATAAAACTGCTGTATTGCTGGCATGTCTCTTGGAAGTTTCATGTGATAATTCAAGTCAGGTGTACAACATTGCCCAAATCTAGTGAATCAGGAGGTTGATGTCTTCATTGCTCATATTTGGAACCATCAGATGCCAACTTTCCAAATGAGTGTCTTTATTTTGGACTTCCCAAAGGCCAGAGTGATAAGTAAAAGTCTCTTCTTTATAAATTCTAAGGTCTGAAATATTTTATACAGCAGCATAAGCAATCTGAGACAGACGTTTGGACACTTGTCCCCTAAAAGCACTCCAAGTACCAGCCAGTCTTCCCAAGACAGCATTTTGCACACTGGCGATCTGACCAGTAATGCTGAGCTATATATGGTAATTGAGCAGAGGAATTTTCTTTTCTGACAACCATGGC